ATTAAATAAAATAAAAAACATAAAATATAAATAAAAAAGAAAGAAGATATACAAACCCTCCGTGAGGTGTATATACACCGCAACAGAGGAGGAGGAGGGTTTAGGGTTTATACAAGGGAATGAATGCAAACCCTTCTCCTTCTTCTTATTCTTCAGGTGTATAGGCACCTATTTATTCTTTTTTTATTATTTTATCTATTATTTATTTAAATATATAAAAGAAGAAAATAAATGACAAAAAAAGACGCAAATATAAACCCTATTATGGGGCTGATTGCTGCCGCGCTTGCTCCGCTCTCCCGTAAACCCTAAACCCTAAACCCTACACCCTAAACCATAAACCCTAAAAAATCCTAAACCCTAAACCCTAATTAGTATAATTTAATTTAATTTCTACTTAAATATCCCAACCTATTCACACACCGAAGAGGGCAGCCTCTTTCTCCCCCCTCTCCCTCTCTCCTAGGGTTTAGGGTTTAGGGTTTAGGGTTTGGTACACGGTATCCATTCGTAAAGTTAGGTAGGGTTTAGGGTTTATAATTCATACTCAATAAATGTCTGAATATTATCTCAATATTATTTAGGGTTTAGGGTTTAGGGTTTAGGGTTTTTTATCTATATTAATACAGGGTTTTTATTAGTGGTAAATAACACACTAGCTGCCTATACACCCCACGGTGCAGCAACTTTAGGGTTTAGGGTTTAGGGTTTAGGGTAGGGAGAGAATTAAATAGGCATAAATACAAATAAATATATATTTATATATATTATATAAATTAATTAACTAAATTAATATTTTATTTATTTAATTAAATAAATAAATAAATAAATAAACTAATTAAATAATTAAATAATAATAAATAAAAAAAGAATAAAATAAATAAATAAATAAATAAATAAATAAATAAATAAAAAAGAAAATAAAAGTTAAATAAAAACAAAAAAGAATATTAAGATGAATTCTTTTGCTGCTTCTGCTTCTTCTTTTGCTGCTTTTGCTGCTGCTGTTGCTGCTGTTGCTGCTGTTGCTTCCGTTTCGGGGAGGAATCAGCTGCAGCAGCAGGAGCAGCAGCAGCAGCAACAGCAGCAGCAGCATTCTTCTTCTTAGGAAGCTTCGCTGCTACTTCTGTATCTCGCCCATTGCTGCTGCTGTTGCTGCTGCTGCTGCTGTTGCTGCTGCCTTGCTGCTGATGATTATTATTATTAGTAGTAAATTGTTTCTTCTTTTGCTGCTGCTGCTGCTGCTGCTGCACATCGTCAAGTGGCTCTGTCTTAAGGCGCATGACGAATCCAGCTGCAGCAGCAGCAGCAGCAGCAGCAGCAGCAGCAGCAGGAGAAGCAGCAGCAGTCTTTAAGAAGGAAAAGAGTTGCTGCTGAGATTTAAATACAACTTGTGTCTTCCATGGCAATTGCCTGCAGCAGCAGCAGCAGCAGCAGCAGCAGCAGCAGCAGCAGCAGCAGCAAAAAAGAAAAACATACAAATATAATTAAATATAATTAAATATAATTAAATTAATTAATTAGTTTATTATAAACAAATAAATAAATAAATAAATAAATAAAATAAATAAATAAATAAATAAATAAATAAATATAATTAAATATAATTAATAAAAAAAAATAAAATTAATTAAAAATAATTAATTAATTATAATTAATTACACTTATTTATAATAAATAAATAAATAAATAAATAAATAAAATAAATAAATAAATAAGTAAATAAATAAATAAAATAAATAAATAAATAAATAAATAAATAATTAAATATTTACTTAGCAAGAAGATGAATATTAAATGCGACAGCTAAAGACAAATCAAAACTTCTTTGCTGCGCTGCAGCAGCAAGACACCGGAAGCTGCTGCTGCTGCTGCTGCTGGTGCTGCTGCTGTTGCTGCTGTTGCTGCTGCTGCTGCTGCTGCTGCCTCTGCTGTGCAGGAGGGGCCCTTGAGGTCCCCCCTCGCTGCTGTTAATGTTAATATAATGCTCTAATGCAGCAGCAGCTTCTTGCTGCTGCTGCTGCTGCTGCGGTGTATCGCAGCAACCTGCTGCATTTGCTGCTGCTGCTGCCAGCAGACGCCGCAAGTCAAGAACGCCAAGACAATCCCCACAAACCACCTGCAGCAGCAGCAACAGCAACAGCAACAGCAGCAGCAGCAGCAAATGAAACAGCAATAGAAGCAGAAGCTGCAGCAGCAGAAAGCAGCAGCAGCAGCAGCAGCAACAGCAGCAGCAGCAGCAGCAGCAGACTTACTTGAGGAGGGGCGAAGGATTTAATTTGCTTAGAGGGGTTTAGATGCGGCAGCAGACACATACCCCATTGCTGCTGCTCCTGCTGCTGCTGCTGTTCCTGCTGCTGCTCCTGCTGCTGCTGCTGCTGTGTGCGGTTGGCCCCACATACACTGCATGCGTTTGCTGCAGCAATTGCTGCTGCTGCTGCAGCAAGAAAATTCTTCGCGAATTCCTTAAAGGCTTTAGGGTTTGCTGCAGCAGTTTGCT